GTTACCGAGCCTTTTCAAATCTTTATAAGACTTAATATGAGAGTCATCTTCTTTACGACCAATTATTATGACTGCTTGTTTTAGATCGGAGTACCCTTTATCACCAGGAATAAAATCAATGATATTTGGTTGCAGAACATTAGAAATATCGTCACGTATATCTTTAAGAAAGATGTATACAGGATTACTAGGAGAGATCTTTGGAGCAAACTGTCCAGTAGTAAAAATTAAATCAAAAATATATATTTCAATCTTCCTGTTGGTATGTTGGCATATAAAGTTGTTTTATATTATATGTTTCTTCTAATTAATTAATTTCTTTTTAAAAGTTGGCTTCTCTTCCAATTTGATTTATCCTGATGATGGCCCAGCAAAGCTCGGTTATTACAATGACGGTCCTGTTCGTTATTTTGATTTTGGTATAAATACTGCTGGCAATGCTACTGCTCCTATCTATCATGTGAATGCTAAAAATTACACTAGGCTGGCTAACTTACCTAGTACTATCCCAGGTTTTAAGGATTATAGCGCTATGTGGAATGTTTTTAATCTCACTGTTACTAATGTACCATTAAAGAAGATAACCTCTCTTGATCAAGTAGCTGATATTACACCAGTCTATAATAATATTATCTCTAATTGTCCAATTTCTATCACTGCACTTAAAAAGGACTATGATTCAACCATACTTGGTACTTTTTATAGGATGTTGGGATATTGGTAATCCATAAATAATAATAATAATAATTTTTTTTTGAAGTATTATTGTTCTATAATATTACTTTTTTTTTTTTTTTTTGCTTTTAATACGTATTTGGTTATTGTAACGTCCAATTATAGCGAAAATATATTAATAAAATTAGTCACGGGTACTGTCACGCCAGCAAATCTAGAAGCGTGACTTTACAAGCCTGTTCAAACTATAATCACATATATATTTTTTTTTATTAGTATAATTTTTTTTTTGTTGTTTATTTGTTTATATTTAGCTTATCTTACCTTTCGGGATTTCTTGTATCGTCCTAATTAAGAAAATTAGCCGCAGTAGATTGAAACTCGGTTTTCAATATTACTTTATCGGATAAAGAATCGGAGGGATAACCAGTAAAAATGAAGTTTCGTGAAAATGCATTTTCATGAAAATGCGTTTTCAATCTTCGATCAGATCAAGAAAAACCATTTTTACATCTTGAAATTGTAGTCTAGGAAACATGTATATAAGGTCCTCAAAATTTCGTTAATAAAGTTTTCTCAGACTTCGATGACTTGAATATAAGTAAAATATTAGGAATCGACTTCTCAAATGTTTTGTTTAAAGTTTATTGAATAAATAATTTTCTTTTATTATTTTGTTTTTCCTTAAGTTTAAACTTCCGAATTAAATAATTAACCCCCGTAACCCCGATTAAATTAATCAGATTAACCCGAACCTTAATAAATTAATCATTAACGCCACAATTAAACATATTGTTAGAGGCAAAACGTGACCTAGAAAAGGCACGTGAGAAACGTGATCAAGCCATGATCCGGACCAAGCTAAGCCTCAAGCCCAAGACCCCCAATCGGCATA